ATACACATGGACTCACCATATGGAATACACAGAAATCAAATTAAACACATCGGTGGGAAGAGACAGTGGGAAAGTCCCATACTATCACTAAAACAAGGTCAGGGCAGACTTTGGAACAGACCATCGATTTCTCATATACAAGTTCAGGCTGAAGTTGAAGAAAAATTTTTTAAAGTTCACAAGATTCAAAATATGACCTTGAATTTATCCCACCTGAATTTACAGACAATCTCAATAGTAGATTTGATTCATTAGATACTAAAGAATGAACACCGTAAGAGTTTTGGCATGCCAATAAAAACATCATAAAGGAAAAAAACAAAAGGTCATTAAGAAGACAAAGAAGAAAGAAAAGGACAAAATAGATGGCAGAAGAGACTCTGAAACTTCCTCTCCAGTGTAGAGATGCTAAAGCAAATGGAAGAAATGAGAAGGTAAAAGAGTTGAACAGAAAAATTTAAAAGGACAGCTTGAGAAAACAAATTCAAATATTATAATGAAATCCACAAAGATCTAGAATTAGGAAACCAAAAGCAAACAACACGCTCAGCATTTCTCAAGTTCAAAGAACTGAGTTAAAATTCAAGCCCTGACTTGCAAAATACTAAAGGATTCTTTCCGCAAAATATTGAATGGCAACAATGCAGAGAATGAGTATTCCAGAATATGTAACAAAGATGGAAGGAATACATTAAGAGTCACTGTAACAAAAAGAAATGGTTGATGTTCAACCATATCAACTATAAAAGGTAGAAGTTTTGTAACAAAAACAGGGGAGAAGTTAATCTTAAAGTCCAGAAACAGAGGATCCTAGGACCCATCAAGGAGAAGAGTACAAGTAGAGTACGGGACCCTATCCAGAGAAGCAGCGACAACAGAGATGGAAGCAGAGATGAAGACATGGAGAGAGGGAGCAGCTGAGGATTCTGGACTTACGGAAATAAAGGGACTAGGTACTGGCGACTAAGAGGCAGACTTGCAGAATGTGTCCTCCTTTGGTTGTTTAAATTATTACATATTCCTGAGTGTTCTGTGTACATCCCCCCTACACACACACACACAAAAAAAAAGAAATTAGAAAAAAAAAACTATTTTGGTACTGAAGGAAGAAGTCCAGTGTGTACTGAAGGCGCTGGCAAAGAACAAGGCACCAGAAATTAATACAACAAGAAGTCTTTTAACAAACTGGCACAGCATTGGAGGCACTCACTCATCTATGTCAAGAAAGTTTTAAGATAGTTACCTGAACAGCTGAGTGGAAGAGATCCACATTTGAGACCATTCCAAAGAGAAGGGACCCAAGAGAATGTGGAAATCAGAGGACAATTATCATTAATACCACATGCAAGTAAAAGTTTGCTAAAGATAACTGAAAAAGGTTGCAACATACACTGACAGGAAACTGCCAGAGGTTCAAGCTGGATTCAGATAAGTATATGAAATGAGGGATATCACTGCTGATATCAGATGGATCTTGGCTGAAAGCAGAGGATACCAGAAAGATGTTACCTGTGCTTTATTTACTATGTAAATGCTTTCAACTGTGTGGATAATGACAAGCTATGGGCAACAATGCAGAGAATGAGTATCCTGGAATATGTAATTGTTCTCATAAGGAACCTATACATAGAGGTAATCATTTGAATAGAACAGAAGGGACATTAACCCTATGGACAACAGAAATTCAGGGAAAGTTATGCACTAGGATTGTATTCTTTCACCAACCTTATTCAATCTGTACGTGGAAACATCTGAGAAGCTGTATTATATTAAGAAAAGTATGGCATCAGAATTGGAGGAAGACTCATTAACCATGATATGGAGATGATACAACCTTGCTTGCTGAATAAGAAGAGGACTTAAAGTACTTACTGATGAAGATCAAAAAGCACAAAAATCTTCACAACCAGCCCAGTAAATAACATCATAATAAATGAAGTTGTCAAACAAAGCCTGCACTGTGCTTACATCCACCACTAACACTCATGGAAATAGCAGTCAAGAAATCAAACGACACATTGCATTATGCAACTCTGCTTCAAAATACCTCTTTAAAGTGTTCAAGAGCAAAGATGTCAGTCTGAGGACTAAAATGTGCCTGACTCAAGTCATGGTAATTTCAACAGCCTCATATGCATGTGAAAGTTGGGCAATGAATAAAGAAGACCTTAGGAGAAATGATGCATTTGAATTATGGTGTTGGAGAAGAATATTAAGGGTACCATGGTATGCCAGAAGAACAAAAAATCTGTGTTGGAAAAAGTACAACCAGAATATTCCTTAGGAGCCAAGATGGCCAGACTTCATCTCTTGTACTTTGGACATATTATCAGGAGGAACAAGTCCTGTCGAAGGACATAAAATTTGGTAAAGTGGAGGAACAGTGAAAGAGAGGGAGACTCCCAACAAGATGGATTGGCACAGTGGCAGTAGCAGTGGGATCAAGCATAGCAGCAATTGTGAGAATTGTGCAGGGCCGGGCAGTGTTTCATTCTGTTGTACATAGGGTCGAAATGAGTTGGAACCAGCCTGACGGCACTTAACAACAATCAAGTAAAGTCTGTTAATCTCCAAAAGTTTGAGTCATGTCATGAACAATAAACATTTCTTAACCATTGATGAAAGAACATCTCTATGCTAGGTGTTAGAAGATACTCTGGTTCTTATGCAGACCATTTTTTTAGCCTTTAACAATGTAGCTTTATAAGGTATTTACTTGGCTTCTAAAGACAAAAGATCATGGAAGGAGGAGGTCCACAGAAGAAGAAACCATATTTACGGCATATCCATTAGGAACAAGAAGAATTTTCTAGAAAACACAAATAAAACGAAATTCTAGGGAGAATATACTATCTATGCAAATTAAATAGGCATAAAACATCATTCAACATTAAGAATAGATGATGACTTTGCTACAGTATAAGTATGAGGTGGAAAATAATAGGCAATAAATGACTTTGTATAGTTGTTGTCATTCTCATTTCATTCTGTAGGTCAAAAGAACACATAAATTATGCTCCCATAAAGATTTACAGCCTAGGAAACACTGTACAGGGTCACTATGAGACAAAACAGACTCAACGGCACAGAACCACCACCATCATAATCAAATTATATTTAGAAAGATCACTTTTTTAACGTACAGGATGAATCAAACAGAGAAAAGCTAAAGACAAAGATCAACAAAGGCAAATGTGGGTAGGAGACTAAGAGTTTATCAAAGGTTACAGAATTAAGGAGGTATCCAAATTGAGAAAATTTTAGAAACCAACAGTGACAGCACTTGGAAACAGAAGAAATGCGTATAATGAAGAAGAGTAAGACATGAAAGAAATTTTCCTGGTTTTGAAATACGGCAACTAATCTATATAATGAAACAGAAAATGAGGTAGAGGATGGGACACGTGGAAAATACATTTATTTCAGTTTAGACATATGGAATCAGATACTAATGGGACTCCATTAGAAATTAGAGTCAGAACAATCTGAAATTCAACAGTATATAGAAATACAAATCGGATCATTAACAGAAGGGCAGTAAAGGCATAGAGCCAGATAACCCAATGAGAGTATATAAATGGAAAGAGAAGGAGCCCATATCAGAATATTAGGAGGCCCAACATATAGGGGGATTGTGGGGCAGAGAGGAAAACGAACAGCCATGTTAGGAAATGATGATACTTTTTCCTGACAAAAACAGGGCAGAGCAAATTTTAAGTATCATAGTGTTGTTGTTGTTAAGTGCCATCAAGTCGGTTCCAGCACATAGTGACCCTGCATAGGGTTTCTCAGGAGCAACTGCAGGTTTGAATCACAAACCTTGTGGTTCAAAACCCAGTGCTGATCCTACAGTGCCACACCAGTAGTAGTAAGTAGTGTCAAATGCTATGGACATATCAAGTAAGATAAGAACTGAAAAATTTAAAGTTAGACCCAACAATTATTTCATTTCTAGTAGCCCTTACCTGACAGCAATTATCTACTAGTACAGTGAGAAGTGGCATGAAAGTAAGAGTTGATAAATGAGGGAGGTAAACTAGTAGTTAATTATAAATGTTATTGTTGTTAAGTGCCGTTGAGTCAGTTCTGACCCATATCGACCCTGTATAGGGTTTCCGAGGAGCTTCTTGTGAGCTTGAACTGCCAACCTTGCAGTTCAAATGGCTTCACAGTCTCGCGCATTAACCCAGAGGTCACTATGGGTTGGAACCAACTCGACAGCACTTAACAACATAGCTATAAATACAGTCATGAAAAACAGAGCATAGGTTTTCACAGGAGAGTATTCTACTAGTTTCTGCCATATTCTTTCTATTTTGAAATCAAATCCTTGACAGAAAAAAGTAACCCATCCCAGAAGAGAAAGGTGAGATGGCACGAAACGCAAAAATCATTTCCAGTAAGAAGAGTGATTCAAACAAAAACTGCCTTAAAAATGAAGAGTTTTAAACTGGTTTCTTAATGAGGAAAAATTAAGAATTGATATCAGAACCTCTTTAAGGCAGGTATCTTGCTCTATCTATTGTCTCTATGTACGACCGTCAGTATCTAGTCAGAGTGTTTTTATGATGTTGTTAAGTACTATTGAGTTGATTCCGACTCATAGCAACCCTGTGTAGGGTTTTCCACGGGGCAGCTGATGAGTCTGAACCACTGACCTGTGGTTAAACCCACCCTTACCATCCAGTGCTTTATCCCACAGCACCACGCCCTAACTAGAATCCATTCATTAAACAAATAATCACTAAGCAACTACCATCTGGCCAGGCATGTTCTAGGGGAAATAGTAGTGAACAAAATAAAATCTTTGTCTTCAAGTATTTTATACAGTAATGGAGAATTGTAAATAATCTTTTATTTTTTTTCAATTCATGATAATTTCAACCATTATTTTGACAAAATTTCACAAAATTAAAAATGGGAAATTATTATAAGATAGAATTTAGAAACTTTTAAATTACACTAAGAATATTTAATCCATTGTTTAAAATTAAACTTACCAATGCAAATTGATTGACTTGAATGAAGAGTATTTCTACTTCCTTTTCAGTTACTTCGGTCCCAAAGCCCTTAAATTCTTTGTATGCTTCAAGGTAAGAACGTAGCCACTGTCCCTGTAGTTCTCTATCTGGATAGAGATTATAATCTACATCACTCACACCTAAAGTAAAAACAAAATTTTTTTTAAATGCATTATATATATATATATTTTTTTTTTTTGCTATGCTACTAGATATTAAGCTGCATTTAAAAAAAATAAACATTAACTCTATAGTCCAGCTTAAAGTCTAATGCTTCAATTTTTCTTCAATGTATGAACCACTTGCATCAGAAACCCGAAATTGGCATTTTACTAAGCATCCCCATTAGATTCTAAGCACACTAATATTTGGAGAACTACCTGAACTGTGACTCTAAACTGTTTTGTGATACAGGTTATGATATATATTTTGTATTGAGATCTTAAAACACATACCTACTTGATATTAAGTTTAACAAACCAAAATTTATCCTCATATTGCTAATTATTTTATTATCAGTATTTTTCCATCCCTTTAAAATACATTTTAAAAGATGGTCTTTACGCCAAAAACTTGGCTTTGATTTCATGACTTACAGTTAGAAAAATACTATAACTACAAGATAAAGTTCATATAATTTTGCCTAGCATTGAAAGTGCTTCATAAACTGGTCCTAATCTACCTTTCCAGTCTTATAGTCCTCTATTCTCCTTCAAGAATCTTACTTAGATCCTTAAAAATACGTACGTTGCCGTTGTTGCTAAGTACCATCAAGGCTAGCTGGCTCCAATTCATAGCGACCCTGTCTAGTCTTAGCGACCCTGTCTAGTCTTTCCTGGACTTTTAAGATTCTTTGTGGAAGCAGAAAGCCTAATCTTTCTTGCGAAAAAGTAAGTATACTTGTCTTAAAAATTTCTTCCCACTTCTTGTGGTGCCCTACCTTCTTTTCAAGAAATACAATCAGGTCTGCCTAACTCTCAAGCTTTAGTTCCATTTTTTTTCTCCCCAGAACAGTACTAAGATAACTAGATCTCTCTTCTTCATACTCACAGCAATGGTAATGATATCTCATTTTAAGCACAGCCTGATTCCTCTCACATAAAGTTACATAAAAATATGTGCAGTATATATGTATGAATATAACAATATTATATGATAAATTTACTGAAGGGAAATCAGTGAAAACTTCTGTATATTAAAACTTTTTTAACTTGTTTCACATCTAATAACCTAAAGTACATAAAAATATATGGATGTATATAAACATAAACTCAGTAATGAAAACTTCCCACTTGGTATAATTAAGAACAATTTTTAATCTTTTATTTCAGAGCATTTCATGTTTCTAAACATAATCATAAAGTGAATTTTAAATTTAACTTATATGAAAATAACTTTTATACTAAACCATCATTAACTTCTAACAATTTTTCAGTTGCTTTATAGCCAAGCTAAAATTTTTTAAATCTTGTGTTTTAATCAATATTCTAAAAGTCCAGGTTCACAAAGGAAATACAAAATATTTTACTTTGACTTTGATAAATTACTTTTCTCATCTATAACTGGAAATATTATTGAACTCACAGGAGTACTGTGGGAAAAGCATGAAATACACTTTATACAGCAACTAAGTCAGGTCTCAATGGAAGAAGCCACAATTATTATTTTTCTCTGATTCATTATATTTTTAGGTGATTAAGGAAGAATTTTAGTTATTTCCTCTTTCCTCCAGTGACAAACCAAAAGAAAGTGAAAAAAAAAAGCAGCAAGAGTGGGAAAATATTGCTTCTGTTCCTAGGTGATCAGATCATTATTAAATAACAAAATTCTAAAAGTTATCAGTTCTAAGTTAAATAATCTACTCCATTGGCTAAGTCCTGCAATTTACCTGCAAATTCATTGAAATGATTTCCAATATCATATGCCAGGTAGTTGTATCCAGAATACTCATAATCAATGAACTGTACATCACCTATGTGAGACACAAAAACAAAGGCATAAAAAATCATATACAAAATCAGAAAATCCCTAGGCTACTTGTAATTAAATAGCTTCCAATACTGTCTCATCGTACGTGCTTGGTTACATACACTTCTGAGACAATAACAGGGTAAGGCTGTGAATTTTATGGCAATGAGCTTTACAAAATTCAAATTATGTATGTTGGTCAACAGCATCTTTATGAACACTAATGTTCACTAATATCAAAGAAAAATCAAAATATAGTCATTCTCCAAGTTCACGTAAAATATGTTTTCACCACATGGGGGCATCAGTTACAAAAAAATGCAAGTTTTAATTAGAAATGAAAAACTATCTTTGGAAATTGTTATTAAATTCTGTAATTATTGAATCATTGTTAGAATGTAATAACACTCTAATAGTAAATCAATAAGCTTATCTACATATGAAAATCAAATCTAAACTGTAAAAGGTTTACAATATCTATTATTTAAAACTCAAATTCTACAGACTTCAATTCTATGAAACTTGCAGTTATGCTATAGTAACACTTGCTGATAAATAAAAATGTTAATTACTATCATACTCATATTTATCTGGAATGCTGCATAACTAAATTCCCAATAGCATTAAGGTGGCTGTTTATCTTTTGAAAGAGCAAAGGTTTTGTTTGTTTTTAAATTCGAGAAGATTTTACATAGATTACTACTCTAAGCTACTGTTACATATAATTAATTATAAATTCTCCAAAGACAATCTCATTCCTCCTGCCAAAGCAACATACTCCACTTGTTAAGTGCCATCAAGTCAGTTCTGACTCATAGTGACCCTGCATAGGGTTTCAGAGAAGCAGCTGATGAGTTCGAACCACCAACCATGCTGTTCAAACTGACCTTGCAGTCCAGTGCTTATCCTACAGCACTAAACCAGGATTCTGTTGTTAGGTGCTTTTAAGCCATTTCTGACTCATAGCCACCCCTTTTACAACGGAACTAATGATAGCTTGTTTCTGCACCATTCTTATAATCATTTCTTTGTGAGTCCATTGTAATAGCCACTGTATCAATCCATAGTTTGTTGTTAAGTGCCATCGAGTCAGTTTGACTCAAAGCAACCTTGTATAGTTTCAAAGGAGCAGTTAGTATATATGAACAGCCAATCCATACTTCTTGTTGTTATTAAGTGCAATCGAGTCGGTTCCGACCCATAGCAACCCTGTTGAGGGTTTGCAAGGAGCAACTGGTGAGCTTGAACCACCAACCTTGCAGTTCAAATCGACTTTGCAATCTAGCGTATTAACCCACAGCGTCACACCAGGACTCCAATCCATACTTGTTAAGTGCTGTCGAGTTGGTTCCTACCTAATGCGACCCTGCACAGGGTTTCTGAGACTGCAAATCTTTACGGGAGCAGAAAGCCTCATCTTTCTCCCATGGAGCTGCTGGTAGTTTCGAACTGCCAACCTTGAGGTTAGCAGTCCGATTCGTAACCACTACACTACCAGAGCTCCAGTCCATACTTAAAAGAGTTTTTAGTTTTTAAGTACGATTGTACATGAATTTGCTTGACAAAGATGTAAGTCCTATTGTCTAAAAAAGAAAAAGGGGCAGAGGAAATATAGCCTTTTTTTAAAAAGGTACATGAATCAATGACTATAAAGGAATAATAATTTACAGGGGCTTATACTTTAAATTGGTACATGAACAGGCATGGCTTATAAAAAAAGCTGCTTATATTGAGAAAATGCAGATCATCTACCAAGTTATAACTGTCTTTTAAACACCAGGCTGAGATAATAAAACTCATAGTCTATACATACTGGAATTTTCTAAATAAAATAGATTTTGAACTATAACATAGTCTTGAAATAGACATGTTTGTTTAATTTGGAGAAGTAGCTTAATCATATTCAAACACAGAAAAACAATTAAATTATCATACCATAAAAAATTACATGGCAATTTATAAAAGAAAAAAAAATCAATGTAATAAGATATAATTTATCATTTTCAGCTTACATAAATAATAGTCACGTTTAGAGTAATAGAATGAGAACCATCAAAATTTATATTATGCATATCATATAAGTCTAAGATTTTAAAATATTAATGTCTTCAGTGAATCAATGCAGTTCAACCACCAGATTTTATATTTCTAAATTCACAATAAACTATACAACAGAAAGTCTTTAAGTTAACCAAATCACTTTACTAAACTGCAGAACGGGCAGTCAAAAGATATTTAAAAAAAACAAAAAACTTTTAAATAATTATTAAGAATAAGACGGTGATGTCACCATCATGATAAAATATTTTGCAGCCATAAAAAAGATCTCATTTTCAAAAATCATTACCAAGGAAATTACAGTGATATATGAAAAAAAAAGATGCAAAATAGTAAATACATTGTGACCCAAATTATTAAAAAAGTATGTCTAGAGAGAATTAAAACATACAATGCTTATGAAAAAAGATGGATAGAAATAAACCACAATGTTTCAAATGGTTTTATCACACTTCAAATGATTTTATTATACTTATTATATAAGTGGCTCTTCTGGGGTTTTTCCCTTTTACTTTTGTCTTTCCCATATCCTTTACAATTGTACACTTTGAAGGATAAATATTATCTTTTAAAAAATGGGATAATGCATTCTTTATACAAAACTATCAACAGATAGTAGACTAAAACAATGATTCAGGAGATCCCTTTCAATCCAACTTTCAATAAATTTCTATTAAAAAAGATTGATCTAATTGTACAACTGAGTCAACAAAAGAGTTTTGGTAAATAATTTTTAAAATACAGCTGTTGATTGATTTAGCTCTTTAAACACAAATTCTTGTAGAGCTCATATTAACCATTACATGCCAATAAAAATACACAGCCCAATCCTGAAGCTTACTTTTGCCACCTAAATAAAAACTCCAATTTGTATTTTCTAAATTATATTTAGAATTTGGTAAATATAATTAAAATGGCAGGTAAAACATTCCTGCTTATAGAATAAATACAATTTAATTAAAGCATAGATCATTTTAACAACAGTTAAAATATGTTTCAGTATGAAAATTTTAGCAATGGCTTTTGTAGTAGCATTAATTCATTAAAGCTAGTCTTTATTTTTAAATGCTATGATGAGTTTATAAATAATGAAATTAAAAAATAAGAAAATGAAGCTAACAAGATACAGATGAGGCTGTTACCAGGCTCCGTGCATGTGAACAAGTGATGCGATAAACCTCCAGTCAGTGCGTTTAAGAAGCACGGGGTGCGCCGCCACATGGCAGCAACAATGGCATACCTAATCTGTAGCAGATGAAGAAAATTTGGCAAACTCACATTTTACAAGACACAAAGCTTAAAAGGAAAAAAAATTTAAAAAAAAAACAAAAAACTGCATTAACTATCTTTTTCAAACTATTGCAAGCAAAGTGGAACTCAACCTTAAATTTAATCTTTTGCAACAAAGTAATATTAAAGAGGCCTACTTCCCTTATTTCAGGTGCCAGAAAAATCAAATTACCATACTTGGAAATGCTTCCATATCAATAAAAAGTATGCTGAATTATTTTTCTTCTACAAATGTAACATTTCTATAATTTTTAATATTTCCAATTATTTGGGGGAACTTCTACATTATTATCACTAATCAATAGTGTATATGGCATTACTATTTTGTTAAGAGTTTTAACTGGGATTTAATTGGGAAGACAACGAGAACACTCTGAAATTGTATACAAAATTTTATGTTTATGTGCATTTTTTTTGAGAAGGGGATTATTCAACATCTCAAAGGATCCTTATCCTTGGCCCCTAAAAAGTAACTACTGCTTTAAGGGTTAGAATTTTTTTTTTTTTTTTTAATATACTTAGCACACTTCTAAGTATATAATGAATTCAACGTATAATTAATGAATTAAACTATAATCTAAATTATCAAAAGCTACATT